GTTTTGCTTGTTCTTCTTTTTCTAGTTCCTGTAGGTGTAGGGTTAGGCTGTTTATTTGAGATTTTTCTTGTTCCTTGTGGTAGGTCTTTATTGCTATGAACTTTCTTCTTAGGACGGCTTTTGCTGCACCCCAAAGGTTTTGGACTGTTGTATTTTCATTTTCATTTGTTTCCAGCTACTTGCTTATTTCTTCTTCGATTCCTTGGTTGACCTCTATGTTTACCTTTTCAAGGAATCACAAACTGTTTTCCACAGCAACTACACCAACTGACCATCCTACCAGCAATGCACAAGGATTCCAATTCTCCATATCCTTATCAAAAATTGTAATTCTTTTAATAACCATCCTAATGAGTGTCAGGATAAAGTTTGAAATGTACAAAATAAAATACATAGGATGGCAAAGAAAACCAATGATGCTGAAATGTAATTTTCAAAGTATTAAAAAATCTGTAATATAGTAGTCACCTAGAGAGAGTGCAGCCCTTACTGCACTCTGCCCACAATACCCCTATCTGTACCTCCAGCTCACAGCTCCCTGCAGGCTCCAAGCATGCCTAGAAGGGTTTCACTCAATAATAGCCATAGCCCTGGGGCGAGCTGCGGCTGTGGACCCCCAAGTGAAGCCCCTTTCATGCACTGTCTTAGGTAATGCTTACCATGGTGTTGTGAGGGTAAACCTACATACCTCACAGTCCTCAGCTGATAAGTGGCAGAGCCAGAATTTGTCTTCCCGGGCACCTTGCAGGGCCTGCACTCAACCCCGCCCCCTGCACCCAGTTTCTCCGCCATTGTTTCGGGCTTCAGCGACAGGCACCAGTCTCACAAACCAGCTGCTTAGCTCTTCTCATCCCCTTGGCCAGTCCTCTTAGATGGGGGCCCCCGTCTCCACTCCTCGACCAATGGCAGCTTGGCTTGAGAGAAAGTAGCCAGCCCAAGGCTCAAAGGTTCATGCCATTGTTGATGCCCTTCCCCTCATCCAATCCATCATGGAGCAGAGCTGACTCTACCTGCTCCCCCCCCCCAATATCTCCCCTAGAAGTCCATCTTTTCTCATCATCCTCTCTGCACACCCCTGTCCTTGCCACTATCAATTCTCAAAGGTGACATGAAAATGGCCCCAGTGGTTTCCTGCACTCTGATCTGCTTCCTGCCAACCGTTCACTTAAAGTCCAAGTGATGTCTCCCAGATGCCACTGCCTCTCTTCTACACGCATATGTCCCTGGGCGTGCATAACATATACATTTTCATCATGACCTCAAGGACCCGCCTGCCCATTCCCCATCTCGTCCCTTACCCCCTCCCATTGCCCAACTCTGCTCCAGGCACGAACCTCCTCCAGATTCTGGAAGGGGCCACACACTTCCTCTAAACTTCGGGTCTTTACTCTTGTTCCTACCCCACCTAAAAATCTCCCCCCCCCCAGCTCAATCTCTCATCAGAATCTGCTTAATTCCTACTAATTCTCCACTCTGCCTGCCACCAAAATCACTTGGGGGAGCTTTAGAAAAATCCTGATGCCTAGAACATACCCCCATGAGAGCCTAGCATCAGGATTTTAGATCAGTCAACTTAAGAAAAACCAGAGCTGCGAACCCAGTTTCGGTCCTAATAACTCTTATTTGACAAGAGGCAGCCCCCGGCACCCCAACTCCACACATGCTTTCCAGAGCTCCGGTCACTTCCTTGCCCAGCACGTATGCGGCATATTTTGCTGTGCTTCATGCTCTCAGCCCTGCTGTTCTGCCAGCCCTGCCTTCCGAGGCAGGAGCTGGCTTCTGCTTTCCTCTGGATCTTCAAGGCCCGATCCGAAGGAGAAGTTCAGTCGAGATTTGTGTCATGGATGCTGAAAGTCGTCTCAAGGGTGACAGGATGCTCTCATGCTTTGAACCTCTTTTCCTAAACAAAACCAACTGATGGCTGCCACCCCACCCCAAAAGTAACAAAACTAATAAGGATTCATTTCTTTGGCTTAAAACTTGTTGTTTCAGTAGAATGCAAGTACCGCTGGAAAATGTAACACGTGAACCGAGTTAGTCATTATCTTTGCCCCGAATGATTTCATCAGCTCTCAATGAAAGGACAACAGAAGAATGACCATTTGTTGAGGGTATTCTAGGCACCTGGCATTAAAAATACGTTAGCTCATTCATGGAGTTAAATGAGTGAGCTCAAAGAGGCTCAAGAATTAGCCAAGGTAACAGAGCCTGTAAATTGACACACCAGATTTAAACTGACAGGAAGGGAAGGAAGGCACACAGAGAACAGGCCTGGGCTTCTGAGGACCAACTTCACCTCCTCCCGTTGGCCCAGGACCCTACTGGGTGCTGGGACTGGCCCCGGGGGATGCAGTGTTATTGGAAATAGCATCCTTCCAGGTGCTCATCCTCTCTCCTTGTTCATGTCCAACACATTGGCAAATGCTGTTGGCTTTGCCTTCAAGATATATCCGTACTCTAACTGCTTCTCAGTACCTTTGCCGCCCACTCACCAGATCGCTGCAAGAGCGTCTTGCTACTTACCCTGCTTCAGCCCTGGTACCCTCTCCCCACAGGGTCCCATCACTTCCACTTCCGCTCAAAACTCCCCCAGAACTCTCAGTGCAAGATCTTATCTCCCACCGGCTCAGTCTTCCTCCTGCCTCATTTATAGGCCAAGCCGCTCCCTCAGCCCCAGTGCTCTCGGGCCCACCGCTGCTCCTCCAACACCCTGCACCTGCCTTCCCCCTGCCTGGAGCACCCACTCACACGCACGCATGCTCACGCATGCGCGCGCGAACACAGACACACACACACACACACACACACACACACACGCTCACTCCCTGCCCCGCCCCCAGTGGGTTCTCAACCAGCGCTATTCGCCCGCCCTTCGCCTCTCTCCTTCCTAGCTTTATTTGTCTCCTAGCTCTTGTCACCAGATCACACACACTTTCCTTGTTTGTTTGCTGCTTCTCCTCCCCGGAATGCACCTGCTCGAGGGCGGGGATTCCTGCCTGTTTTGGGGCTTCAGTAGGCATTCTTATGGGGTCTGGTGGCTCTAATCCAACATAAATTAAAAATCCTATCAGTGGTCCAGTTCTAATACCGGGGAGAGGCTAAGGACTTGCTGTACACCGACATGTTGATGCTTAACAAGTATTGGTTAAATGAGTGAACAAGGAAACATCAGCTTTTATTGGAACCACAGACTAACAGAGATGCCAGTGATTCAAAAGGCCAAAGTCTGTTCTATTATGCCCCAAGATTAGACTTTCACTGAGTGGAGGCATGGGATGTACTTAACTATTATTTGATTATACCAGCATTAATGGGACAATGTAGTGCAGCAGAAGTACATGGCTTAGGGTTGTAGGACATTGGGGGAACCCTGGCTCCCTGCTTGGAGGCTGTGGGATCTCTGGTTACTCAGTATCTCCCAGTCGCACTGGGTGATGTGCTCCTAAGTGATAGTTTTAAAACTTCATTAGCCTTTCCCTCTCTGAGCCGGCAGATTTTTCCATCAGATTCCCAGGTCGCATTCCAGACCCAGTGAATCAGACCACAGGGTGTGTATGTGGGGTAGAGGTGGGGGGACAAGCAGCCAGGATCCTACATTTTAAACAATCATTCCCTAAGTGTTTAGGCTGCTGCTGCTACAAGACTGGCTAGAGTCTCGCTCCTCTGAGCCATCCCTGGACCAGCATCAGCACCAGCTGGGAGCGCACGAGGAAGGCTGAGTCTCAGGCCCCACCCCAGACCTTGTCAACAAGATCCCAGGATGGTTGGTGCTTTGAAAACACAGTTCTCTCACACTTGATTGGACCAACTTACAGAGCCCTCAGCCCTTCTCTCCAACCTCCTAAAGGATGCCAGTGAAAAGCCTAGGACAAACTTTCATTTCACAATAAGGGACAGGCTTAAGATGCCAAGGTCTGCCTAGGAAGCTCCAGGGGAAGGCTTCCACAGGTGGATTAAGGCAAACCTTTCATTGCTAACGTTGCTTGGTGACAGATGGGGGCCAAGAGGGCAGATGTTTCGATGCTCAGGTCATGAGATCGAGCCCCATGTCAGGTTCCATGCCCAACAGGGCACCTGCTTGAGGATTCTCTCTCTCCCTCTCCCTCTCCTTCTGTCACTCCCCCTGCTTGTGCACTCTCTCTTTATTTAGAGAAATAAATAAAGTCTTAAAAAAAAAAAAGAAAGAAAACTAGGGGCATCTGGGTGGCTCAGTCAGTTAAACATCTATCTTCAGCTCAGGTCATGATCCCAGAATCATGATTCCAGAATTCATCGGGCTCAGTGCGGAGCCTGCTTCTCCCTCTGCCCCCACTTCCCCTGTTTGTGCTCTCTCTCTTTCTCTTTATGAAAAAAAAAAAAAAAAAAGCTAAATAGGAAGTTACTCTAACATATAAAGACCACACACAGCAAAAATCTCATCTTTTAGTAAAAAAAAGTACTGCTAACAATCAATATGGGAATTATTTCCTATGGACCCACTGTATACAATGAAGGATGCACCTGGAACGTTACGGGCTTCACGGAACCGGGTGGCGCTGGTTCTGATGGGGGTCAACACTATTCACCGACACCGAGGACTAGCGCCTACACACCAGGACACCCAACGCTCAGGGAAGATGTCAAAGCAAAGCGAAGACCCCCTGTTACAAAGTGAATAGCACGCCCCCCCCCCACCCCAGTCTTCCCTGGAGTTTCTCTTCTGCAGGAACCTAGACTTCTACTCGCTGTGTTTGCCGAAAGCAAAACACACCTTTTTCGTGGCTGGTCTAGAGAAGCCATTTGATGGTGTGGTCTCTTCTTTCCATGTTGTTTCCCTGTCGTTGTGCCCTCTTCCCTCCCCTAAAGCCTGCAAAATGAATCTTAGCCAAGCAGGCACACGGAAACCCCGTTAGCACCCGCAGGAGCCTCGAGCCCGCGACCAAGGGGAGTGATCCTCCCTGTCCCGGGGTGGCAGGAGTGGAGGGGCCGGGGTAGGGAGCCAGGAGGGGGGAACACGTTACCTGCCAGGTACTCGATGACTGCCGCCATGTAGACGGGAGCACCCACGCTGATCCGGTACTTGAACGTCCCTTTCTTCAGGTACCGCATCAGCCTCCCCACGGGGAAGATGACACCGGCCCTGGCTGAACGGGACAGCTTGGACATTTTCTTCTTCCCACTCCGGCCCGACATCTTGCCTCAGTTTCCCTCTCAGCTTGCTGACACGGAGGCCTCCTGGCTCTAACACGATGCTGAGAAGGAAAGAAGGCAGGGTGAGGAAGTGGGGCTGGCAAGCATTTGGGGAACGGTGATGGGGCACCAGGACACCAAGTGACACATTTGGTGGCCCCAGGGTGACAGCTGAGACCTGGCAGCCACCGCCAGCCACTGAGGGCTGGGAGCTGGGCATGGGGGCTTTACGGAGTATTGCCAGCCACCCTGTAAACATCTCCCCACCCCACTGCATCAGCCCAACCTCACGGGGAGAGGCCAAAGAAAGTCACTAGAGAAAGGGGTCATCGTGCGGTTGTCTGCAGGACAGTGGCCCCAAAGATGCCCAGAATCCCTGCTTATGTCACCTTATATGGCAAAAGATTCTTTGAAGACTTGATGAGGTCGGGGATCCTGAGATGGGGAGATTATCCTGGAGTATTGGAACAGGCCCAGCGTAACTGCAAAGGTTCTTTTAGGAGGGAGCAGGAGATGAGTGAGTAGGAACAGGTGTAATGGGAGAAGCAATGGATTCTCCCCTCAGAGCCTCCAGAAGCTTGAAGCAGTCCTAACGACACCTTCACTTCGGCCTGGAGAACCTGAATTTCACCTCAGCTCCAGAACTGTCAGGGAATAAATTCATACTGCTTTAACCCCTAAACTGGGGCTAAGTTATTATAATAGCAGCAAGAAAATGAATAGGTTTCTTCTTTGCCCTGATTTGCTTCTGCCTGTCTGACTCCAGGGTACTTTGTTAATAGGGCAATGCCTGTCACGGTTGGCTCTGACCAACGACTCAGAGCTCCTGGGCATTTCTTGGATGAAAGTGCTTTTCTAAATTCTCCAATCTCCAATTCTCAAAATCAGAAAGACGCCAGAAGATGTAGTTTATTCAAATGCTAAATGCAGAGGAATAAAACCCAGCAAATTAAAAGCTGCAAAGCAGCCCAACCTTCCCCTTCTTTGAATGAGGGGTCCAGACTGATTTGGGGGAGAAACTTCAGAAAGAGCCTGAAGAGGTGACTTCAATACAACGCACGGACAGACACGCCAATAGCTCACTGTTATTTCAGGAACCGGTCTTCTGTATGAAGATAAGATAATTATACACTTCTGAAAAGCTCACTCAGAGAATCATAATAGAGCTTCATCCATTGGTTGAGGGAGTAAAAGCAAATGAGACAGGACAAACAGGCATGACCAAAGGGGGGGAAAAGAAAAGGAAACAAAATTTCTAGGAAATCCGTTAATGAGTCAAAGTTCTCTGCTTCAAGGGCAATGCCATTCTTTCTGGCTATTTCATTTGGGAAAGCAAAATAAGAAAGTCAAAAAGAAATTGAGATTGGTTCTTTTTGTGGAGGCTGCCTGTCTCACATGCTAGCTAGCCTAGTTTACCAACAGCCAACGTGACCTTGAAAAGGCCCAAGAAAGTGGATAAAAATATGACGGAAGAAAGTGCGACACTGAGGCATTGCTGGTGGGAAAGATACGAAGCTGGGATGTATTCAATCTGGATGGAAGAATGAACAGAGTTCAGGTTCCTAAAGTAGCTGATTACCCTGTTACAACTGAGAAATTTTATATAAACACTATGGAATTGGCAACCAACCCTGTCTTCGACACCCTCTCATCCTCGAGGTGAATAATGTGCATTTGAGGCATTTTATTACATACTTCACATACATTATTTTTTTACGTGCTCATATGTACTTACTGTACTCCTATTTTATGAGTCGTTTTGCCCCCAAAAGATGTAGGTATTCATCAAAGTTAAGTATGAGCAAAGAGGAGCAAATAGCCTTAGAATATTGTCTCTCTCATAATAAGGTACAGGGATCAAACAATAGCACCCTTTTTAAAACTCCCACATTTTCTGTGCTTCCACTGTCCCAGGCTGCTACCTCTCATGGAGCTGCTCAGATGTCCTCCTTTGGAGGAAACAAGCAACTACAATATTAAGGTCCTAACCATCAATTTACGTTAAGGAAACTGAGGTCAGGCATCTGTCAAAGTCTGCTGTACCTGCTGTTGGTCATTGCTGACCCGGGGCACAGGGTGCTCATAGAGCACAGTGAACTGGTCCTGTCCCCAGAGAGAGCTACACGACAGCTGTGTTAGTGGCTGGTGGGGCCCAAAACGGAGGTGGCTCCTGGGAAAATGGAAAGCCCCTAGGATCCGGAGCAAGAAGCCCAGGGCGAGGTCCCGCTTCTGCATAAGTAGCCAGGAGAGCTCTGATTGTCATTGGTGTGGGCCTCATCTCTAAGACAGGGAGGTGACTCATTGATCCTGAAGGTCACGGCCGTCTGAAACACCCCAGGGTTCGTGAAATGCATTTTCAAATGGTTCTGGTAAAGAAGCTTTAATTCCTTTAGGAAATGAATTCTAAGGAGTTGAGAGCCTGTACAGGTTCATAAAGATGTATTAGCATTGAGGACTCCGCTAAGCGAATTATATGCTTTTTGTAGTAACAGGTAAGTTGGGGGAGGGAGAAGATCAGTCCGTCTGGATGCCAAGAAAACCACCTGGAAAGACTGTCACAGGGTGGACTTGGCCTGCAGATACTGTGCACGCTGTACGGACATGATCTCTCATACCAACAGAGAGAAGGACACACAGAGCATGAATACAATGGGGGCAGGACCCACTACTCATCCCTCCCCACCCCGCCATGTTTTTCTCAAACGAAAATAGCCAGAGAATGACTAAGTATGTAGGGTAAAGCCACCTAGTGACTCCCCCAGTGTCAGCCAATCGGAGTGACAAGTTTCCCTAAAAACAGGGGACATTAGGGGACTGACGCCTAAAACACTCATGAAGATAAAACAGCCAGGTAGGGAAAAGCAGGGTCAGATCAGACAGAGGCGCATGTCAGCTATGCAGTGTAAAACGTAGGGATCACCCTATGCATAGCATTTTGTAACCAGGCTTTCTTTTACTCGCTCCCAGACTTTCCTCCAGGTTAGGGCCTTAGAGCTGAGGAGGTGGCTCCGTCTGAGGTCTCCGAGGGAAACTGTGCCCGGGGAACCCATCTTTGCAGACACTTAAGCAGATGGGCACCCAACTCCGGGGCCCCGGATGCTAGGAGGACCCGGATATTGTAAGAACCAGACCACATCCGGGAATCCCTAAGGATTCAGAGGATGCTGATGGGGCTGACGTGTCACACCTACTGGACCCCACAGGTGGAAGGAAGTGCTTGCACCCACCATCCGCTCCAGAGAAGACCTCCCTTTACAGACCATCCCCGCCCCCAGCTTGGGCTGGACTCTGCCTGGAGCGGTGAGACATTGTAACCCCGAACTGCCTTCCTTCCCAGGACTCCCTTTCCCCTGACTCTATCCAGTCTTGGGAAGTTAGGAGTGAAAAACTTGAACAGGTTTTTATCTACCTCCTGTGAATCTCCGAAATCTATTGTAGAGGGCCACTCGTCGAAAGAGTAAAGCAGTATGGCAATGTGAAATTTGTTTCCATCAGACTAATACTTAAATGTTTACACTTATTTACCTTCTGCTCTAAAACATTTTTTTCTCTAATTAGGCACAGCTAAGGACTACCCTACATTATGTTTGTTTACAAGTTTGAAGACGAGAATATGGGTGGATGGAGCTCTCCCGGTGGTTACAGGCACCACGTGGGCGCCCCCTGGAGGCTGCGCCTGGCCAAGCTCAACCCGCCCCACCCTCCAGGCCAATCCTGGGGTATCCTGGGGTCCTTAAGAGGAATTGGGGACCAGACCAGAGAGAACCTAGATCTGCAATATATCTGTCCTTTCATATCAGAGAGACCAAGAAAAACCAAGATATAAGGTCTCCTGATGACTTGCAAAGCGGATGGGAGAGTTTTCAGCATGCTAACAGTGGGGGCTCAGGGAAGAAGACCAGAGAATGCCTTGCCGCCTGCTCATTTCCCTTTCCCTCCAAAAGCACAGGTGGGAGAACAAAACTGGTTTTGTGTGCTGGGCAGAGGGCACATTCAGATTCTGTTGTTTTAGGATTTATTCCTACAATGGCTTTTAAGCCCATAAGAATACCGATGAGCTAGATTTCACAGATATCACAAGGGTAGATATTAAATTGCAGCGTTAACTCAGACACGGGCAATAAACTCATGCTGGGTTATTCAAATAACTACTGTATTTTCCTGATTTTATAGTGCTTTCTTTTTTTATATTTTACTATCTCTGGAAAGCAGTATGCATCTTCCAATCTATGACATCATCAATTAAATGAAAGACAGTATTTATGAAGCATTTATTATTGAACAAGAAACTACATTAGTTGTGGAGTATACATGGCCCTTGTCCTCAAATATTTTCCAATGAAGTTGCAAGACAGACCATGATAGAGTTTCAAATAGATGCTAGAGACATGGTTCCCAAACTGTGCACCAGGATGCCCTGGGACAAGTCAGCAAATGTTTAAGCTTTCAAGGGAAATAAAGTGATACCCAAGCACTGTGGGACCCTATAGCCTCCAGATCAAAGTGTTCCTACCAGGGGTTCATGACAGATTGTACTTCTTTCTCATGGTTCCGTATCTTACAAAGCTGAGTTTTTGGTTGCTGCTGTGATTAAAGCAAAAGCCAGGGAAAAATTGATGTAGAACAGAAAATGAGAATGGCTATGTCCAACCTGATTCTAAGGTCTGGGAAGTTGTGCAGTGCCCAACACACACATACATGCTATTTGTAATTCATTGTGGCTATTTAAGAACAGAATACAAATATTCTTTTTTCTTCTTATTTATGTACTCTTTTTTTTCTTTCAAATAGCTCCTAATTGTTAGGACATAAATACGAAGGTGTTTGGACCTCGCCACTTAATAAATAGAACCAATAGGTATTTCTTCTGGCCTAGGCACTTGGAAGAAAAATGGCAGAGACACTAATTTCTCTGTGAACTGAGAAAGTCTGGGAACTTCTCTGTTAGGGCACATCACCAGCAGGCTGAAACATGTAATTATGACTTGCTCAAGGTCACACTGAAGCAAGAAAAACAAAATTTTAAATTAGCTATTTAAAATTTTGTGTTTATGGGCGACTG